ATAAACAAAAAAAAAGATATATATACACATATATAAACACACGTACACATATATACATACACACACATAAACATATATATACATACATACATAAATGAACATACAATCTTCTCCAAATTTACTTATTATTAAGATTAAAAAAAAAAAAGAAAAAAAAAAGACAGAAAAGAAATTACATATCTATGTATACATAACTGCACAATTTATAAATAATAGCTATCTAATAGAAACATAATTTAATACAAAATGTAATAATATTTACAGTGATTCATAAAATAATAAGCAAACACTAAGAAAAAATAAAATCTCAGGAATAATTGTGGTATAAAGGTAAAAAAGGAACTATATATACGTACTTACTCATATTGCTACACAGTGAGACAAAAAGTATAAAATATAAACTTATATATACATGAAAGAAAAAGCACAACCTGAGGTGAAGAGAGATACAAATAAATAGTAAAAATAATAGTAAAAAATCATTGATGTTTTATGTTAAAACTTAAACTGTAGGCACCATCATTTACTTCTCACAAATTCAGTTCATAAAATGAAGTTTATGGTTGTGAATCGTCTGTTTGGGATGTGAGGAGATATTGGAAAAGGAGTTCCCTGTATTTGAAAGTTGACAGGGAAGAGGCATGACGGATGTTATGTGGCAAAGAATGCCAGTAAGAGACGGAGCGGGCTAAGAAGGAACGTTCATAGGTTATATACTGAGGAAAATGCAAATATATACAAAAAATACCAAGAAAAAATACAAATACATACAAGAAATAGAATTAGAAAAAAAAAGTGAATAATTAAAAATAAAATGGCTCCTGTCAATTAACTGGTGGTAGTGTTGTCCAAATGCGAGACCGATACGAGTCTTTGTCTTGCGCAAAAGTCTCGCAACAGTCTTGCAATTAGTCATTAGCTTATTACTGTAATTTTTTAGATAGGAAAAACCTAACTAAACCCGAATGAAAAATTAGAGGAGTTAAAAGCAAAAATATATTGGTCAATCCAATTATAAACATATAGTACTATTTTCCCTTAATTTTTATTAAAAAAAAAAAAAACATTTATTTTTACCAGTCCTGTTCTTGATCTTGCAACGGTTATGCGGTCTTTGTGTTGGTCTTGCACTTTGCCGATTTCTGTCAACACTAACTGCTGGTGACCAACGTAATTATATAACCCAGAAATTCATACAAGCTTGCGAAAGTTTAAATTTGTAGTAAGTGGTGGATATATAGGAGTTGTTTGAAGGAGTTTATAATTTACGAAGGATTTACTGAAAGAAGTCGTGTTATGTAAGGGGTTATATAAATCTATAGGTTGAGATCAGGTGTTGAGAGAGTGTATAGAGGAATGTAGGGTTAGGTGTTCTAAAATTTAGGGAGGGTTTTGGTTCTGAAGACTTGGAAAAGGAAAACACCAAGGAGGAATTGTCGTCGGGAAGTAGGATAAAGCCACTTCAACTCGGTGCACTAGCGGATCCAGGATTTAATTTTGGGGGGGGAGGGAGGCTTCAGCCCGAAAGCGGTTTTTTTCATAAAAATAACGATAATTACTTTGGAAAAGATGAAAGAAACTAACTATCTGTATGAAATGGTGTTTAAGTGATTCCTAAAGCCCCTTTAAATGTAATTACACAAACAATAATACTTTAAGAGATACTTTTATTATTTTTTTTTTCGATAAAACATGGCTATATTTTACCATTTTGGAGGGGGCCTTCAGCCCGAAAGCCCCCCCCCCTCGTAGATCCGCCCGTGACTCGGTGTACCAACAAGAAATATGAACACGCTTGAGAATCCCAAAGATGAATCTTGTGAAGCAATTCATAAGTTTCTTCAGCCTCGCCTCCAGTCATGTTGAGTTGTGTAATAATATAAGATATTGTATAAATCAGTCCAGTAGCTAGATGTTGCAAACTAGATAATAATTATTCTCTTCCATATTGTATTATAATTTAGCCTTTAATAAGATAGAGTAATAAAAGTGAAGAAGATATCTGTTGTGCGGAAACAGACTGTTGTTCCACCGGCACTTCTTTATTCACCATTATTTATGCATATTCATCGCAGTTTTCTATTGCTCCATTCTTCCACCCTCCGATTATCTTTTATTCATATTCTGTTTAGAGCCCGGGTTTTCTTCTCCGGGTTAGTTCATCAGCGAGAACACCTCCATTCAGGGCTTTTCATCATGGCAAGAAATGAGGCCCAACACGTTCCCTATTGTTCGTAATATTTCATTCAACTTTACCACTCTATTCAAGGAAACAGGAGTTTTACCTAAATTGCTGCTGAATAATAGTGTGATGGTACATCTTTACAAGTGCTTTTGTTTAACATGGTATAAATTATTAGCGAGAAAAGATCTGGTCCTATCTGTATCAATGATCATATTTCTTATTTAATTGAACTAAGTTTTTTATATGTATTAGGCCAAAGGTCACCAAATCCAGCCCTGTATGAATGTATTAGTGAGGAGCAGTATTTTTCTTAATATCGCCTGCGAAAGAGAAGTGAAAAACCGACGTTCTATGAAATAAAAGAATTACTAAAGGACGAATTATATTGTAATGATAGATTTTAGAAATTTTATGGAGCGGTGCATGTTTACAGGTTCTTGAAAAATGCTCCTGAAGCCGAAACGTCGAATAAATAATACAGGATGTAAAAACTGTGTACATTTGGTGACCTTTGGCCTAATATTTATAAAAAAGTTATGAGAAAATGGCACCGAACCTGAATGAAATGACTAGAAAATTTAATTTCTTATATGTATCAATTTATATAACGATTATAATATATTTATGTAAATTGAGAGTAATTATTGAATTGTAAGGAGATAATGAACTAATATTGTCATAGATTATTGAAGGAAGCTGTTCTACATATCATGAGTGATAAATATTAAGGACGCAGTCATTAAGATTTTTTTATTTGTGTCAACGTTTCAACCCAAACATGTGGGTCATCTTCAGGGAGGGAATCGAGCACTGAAGGCTTTCAATTCACTTGCACGACTTATACATACACGCATACATATAATAGAATAGAAGAGAATAGAAAATAATTGTATTCTGGGACGAAGTCCCTTTAGAAACAAAAAAGTACGAAATTAAAATGTTATGTCTGGGCAAAAAACCAAACAAACATAAGAAGTAAAGATAAAGATAAATAAGTAAAGAAAATATAGTAATAGAATAAAGAAAATATCGGTGTTAGGTGGCTTAAAATAAATAAATTGGAAAAAAAAGATTAAAATATTTGAAATCTTGAATTTGATAAAACGGTCATAATTTTTTATACACCCTATTAATTCTTTGCCACTACCGGACTCGAACTTGGAAACCGGAGCATAAGTGCAAAGTGCCTTATCCAATGTGAGCTGCCTCGTTTCTCCTAAATTAATGGCATTAAATAATTTATAAATACAATATCGTTTATTTTATACTCTTTCTATTTATTTTATTTTATTATATAATCCCATAATACTATATATAAAATAAAATAAAAAAATCTATATACAAAACTCTTGGAATCTTGCCAAGACATTTAAAATTATGTACAATTGTAAAATAAAAATATATACTTTTAGAAAAAATAAAAAATACATTACATTCTTCTTAGCAGTAAACTCTGTATTTCTGTTTAAAAAAAAAAAGAAATTCGAATCTGATAATAAGTATTTAAGTGATGAGCTATATGTAAATACATTATTTTGAATAATATGTAATTTTACATAAAAGATTAGCTGGTATCTGACTGTTTATGGGACAGGAATTGGAATAGGAGGATTTCGAAAATAGATAGGGATGAAGAATGCCGAATTTTGATAGGAAGGGAATTCCTAAAATTGGGAGCAATAAAGAAGATCTCTGAGAAGGAATGTAAAGCTCGGAAGGTCGAGATCTTGCGGAAAGGGAGTGGACTAGTTATATACATAAATATTTAATAGTTAACCGTTACATTATAAAGGAAGGAGATGGTCTGGCGTGGGGGTCATAGAGAGACAAAATAGTGGCAAAACTATTTTATTCAGCTCAAAGTGAAACTCCTAGCTGAACACACCTCTCTGAAGAAGACTTGCAAAGTCGGGTCGAAACGTTGGTTTTTAATAAAATAGTTTTGCCACTATTTTGTCTCTTTATGGCCGTCATCCTGGACCATCTCCTTCCTTTATAAATATATATAACTTAAGATATCAATTATAGTCGAATAATAGGCCATGAAATACACTTCAATGAGCTAAAAGAGCTTCTGTTTATTCTTTTTGTTCAAAATCGTTTCGATTCCTGTTTTTTAACATAAATAATGGGATCCTCTTCAATTTTTAAATTGACCATTGACACCCCAAGTACGCTGAGAGCTACAACTGTATCGCCACAAGGATATCAAGCTAATGTCTAGAATACTAATCTAGAGTAGCTTATAGTTCCGCTTATGAATTAGTAGTATTTTATTAGTAGCTTATGATCTATTATCCGACTATATTTGATATTTTGAGTTATAATATGAAGGTAGATTAATAAAAACATTATATATATATATATATATATATATATATATATATATATATATATATATATATATATATACATAGCTAGATAGATTGATAGATAGATAGTAGATTTGTTCTGGGAATAAGTCCCTTTAGAATAACAAAATTGTACAAAAAGAATAGAATACTACTGGCCTAAAAGTTTGAAACAATAAATAAAGTTGATAAAATAAAATAAAAAGTAAAAAAGAAATCTTAGGTGTACAAGCTGTATACAATATAGAAAAAACAATGTACAAAACACTTAAAACTATGCACAAAACACTTAAAACTATGAACACATCACTTAAAACTATGAACAAAACTATATATAATGGTTGAACAAAATAAACATACACTTTGAGAAATGAAGAACGAAAAAGAGATAAAATAAGTTCATTATATATATATATATATATAATGAACTTATTTTATATGTATATATGTATGTGTACTTATTTTATATATATATATATATATGTTTAAATATTTATTCAGTTTTATATTCTATTTCAGATGCCCTCGTTATAGTTTAGATAGGTAAAAAAAATCGATTAATGAACGGAGCAAGTAGGAAGAAATCAACCCAACCTTCACAATCTCCACCGCCTCCAACGATGCAAAAGGTAATTAATGATAAGTAAATAAATAATATATATATATATATATATATATATAATCTTGTTTAGTGTTAATTATACATAAAGTATAGACTGCTTTTGCTTCCACAAAAAAAAGATCTTTATTAATAACAATTTCAAATTAAATACATTAAATCTTAAAACCATACCTACCTACAAAACGAAATCAGTTTTTATAGTTTTTATGTACAATGAAACACAACACTAAACACTTAATAATTTGAAATAATTGCAAACCGTACCATATGGTTATTCTTATATAATATCATTTGTTAAATGTGTGAATTAAATAATTCACTTAAAGATGACGATTCGTCAGAACCTGAAGTTTATATATATATATATATATATATATATATATATATATACATATATTTAATAAAATACGAAGAAATAATGGTGATTGTATAAATAGAATATTTAATAGTTGACCGTTGCATTATATAGGAAGTATATGGTCGGGGGAGGCGGTCATAAATAAGTTAAATAGTGACAGAACTATTTTATTAAAACAAAATAAAATAGTTTTGTGACTATTTAGCCTATTTATGATCGTCACCCCGAACCATCTCCTTCCTTGATTATATATATATATATATATATAGTTAAGCACCATTATACATGATTTTTGCCACATATTCTTATCAGGATCTGGAATGCGACAAATATATGATTATCCAATTGCAACATATATGTAAGATATGTAATAAATGGTTCATGATAGAAAATTCGAATGTAAAAATAAATTGTATTAATAATTTTTTTTTTTTTTCTTTATCAGAATATAATCATTGTTACGTCTGACCCCAGGCAAGGTGATAGCGATAAAGTACCTGTTACACTTTCAAGATGACTGAGATAAGATAGTCAGGCCATCACTCCCCACACAATTACCTACAGTTTCCATTAAAAACAATTAAATTACTTATAAATAGATCAGAAATTCATTTGATTTGAATTCGTTTATCTATCACTTCTTTCAGTCTTGATGTTTGGCCAGCGATTTGGTCTTCTTGTAAATAAATGTTGCTTGCGTGGAAGGGTTTACTCAACTTGGTGTTGTTAAGGACGATGGTCTAGGTATGGACTACCAATAGCCCCCTATCTATCCAAAAGTAGCTAATCGGTCTAGATCCATCGTCTATGGCTGCTGAGAACGAATGTTTTAAGATAATGTCAATTTTAGGTTGATATGTTCACGTTTGATTTATTTTAACTTCCCCAGTTTCTTTGATTTAAGGTCCATTTATATGGTTTCAGGATTTTTTGGAAAATAATATTGATTTCAATATTGTACGTTATCGCACATCAATTATTTTAATTTGACCTTATCAGATATCCTCATAAACGATGACTGTTACTGAGTTAATGAAGATAATGTTAATAAAAATATCAATTTTAAGATTGCGTGCTGAAAAGTATCGATTATTATAACTTTTCAGTTATCCTAAATGTGGTGAATGATTATTGAATTACCAAAGCCGTTTTTTAAAAAAAAAATATCGATTTAATTTTGTAGATTTTAAATTTGTACTATATCTGTATCAATTTATTTTAACTTGTCAGATTTTTTTTTTTTTTTATCCTTTACTATTTTGTTTAAAATTTCTATAATTTGACTCTAATTTAAGCAATTTTTGAAAATTGTATCAAATTCAAGACTGTGCCACTACATATCAACATATTTTAACATTTTTGCTATATGCGATTTTGAATTTCTTATTCTTTATAAGTCCATATGCTTTTCAGGTGACATTGGTAAAAGACACCAACCAATTGTTTATTCAACAATTAATCAATTATTGATGATTAACAATTTTGTTATTATTACAAATTATGGTTCTTACCAGAGGTTTGATAATTTATTAAATGAAAATACATACATCTGTTCACTTCACAACATACATAAAACAATAATTTTCAAAAAATAATACCTTTGTATTCAGAAATCACTGATAACATATCTATGGACAAACCACTTGTTCTCAAATAACCCTTTTCATAAATAATATGTCAGAGAAACATACTCGCAATCTAATATTGATTTTTTTATTTATAAATTTAAATATAAAAATCAATTCGTGGTGGTAAATGGTAACTGACCTCCGGGAAAACTACTTAGCGAATCTCAGTTTAAGTACACATGGTAAGGCCATGATTCCGATAATCTAGAGATGTGATTTCCTATAGTATAGTCGTTGTGAGTATTCGCCAGTAGGCTGACGAGCCTCACATACTCAGAGAAGGGAAATCTCGGGTTGCACGACTTTCGTTAGTGGTTAATCACCCAATTCGTGTGGTCACACATCCATGTACTTACCACCCTCAATGTTGCTTAACTTTAATTACTCATTGCAAGCGCTTTAACACTCCTAAGGTCGCTGCGAATCTGTGAGATTCACTTCATTAAATCAATTCAATAATAAAAAATACCAAGACATTTCTCATTGTACTGAAAGAAAATTAGGTAAAACATAGAGTTACCTAGATTAAAAAAATATTTTGAAAATAATATTCACAAAATTAGAAACTTGAACATTAAATTCTGTATATATATTTTTTTCCCTCTTCATACTTCTATCCACACCTGTCCTAGTATTGACAATAAGCAGGTGTGATCTCATTGTAAAGAAAGTTGACATTTAAGGCATGAGGAAGATTAGTACCCAATAGTTGCTCTTCCTGATCTTGGTCTACTTCATAATTTAAGAAAGGAGATCTCTCATCCAGCTCCTCTTTAGTAGTCTCCTGATGGGCATGTCAGCTGTGACCATGTCGTTGATAAGTCCGTTGTGATGTTCGTGTAGTGTTTAAGATTAAATGGGGAGTAGAGAGTACATATGTTTTAGTCGATAGTTGGTTATTGTAAGTCGGTATGTAAATTTTTGTTGTTTACGTACCAGGGAGCTGCTGTTATTAGTCTTAAAATTTTTAATTGAAATGATTGTAGTTTTTGTAAGTGCGTCTTTTTTGCAGAACCGTAAATTTGTGAGGTGTATGTCCATATGGGTTTGATTAGGTAAGTATAGGTATTTAGTTTTTGTCTGATTTTGATTTGGAAAAAAGGGACTATAGTATTTTCAGTGGTTTGTTCAAAGTCTTTCGTTTCATTTTGGCATGTGGTTCCCGATTTGTCTCGTCGAAGTGTAAATGTTATATGTTGTGATTTGTCATGGTTTAATCTAATTTTCTAAAGTGAATAACAATTTTGTAAATTCAGTGAGGCTACTCTGGGGTTATGGTGTTCTGTTAAAATTGTTGTATCGTCAGCATAAGTAGCTGTCAATGTTTCAGAGGTGATAGGCATGTCATAAGTATATATAATGTAGATTAGAGCAGCCAATATTGATCCCTGAGGTACTCCTGCCGACACTAGTCGAATTGAGGAAATATCTAAACCCTTTCGGACAGAGAAAAACCAGTCGAAAGGGAAAGACTGAATAATTAGATAGTATGTATGAGGTAGTATAGTTTTGAGTTTAAAGAGAAGTCCCTCGTGCCAGACTTTATCAAATACCTGGGCAACATCCAGAAACACACCGGTTGCATATTGTTTTTGCTCTAGTGCTCCAGCAATGTAGTCAGTAACTCTTTGGAATTGGTGCGTAGTTGAATGAAATCTCCATTCATTTTGTAATTTATTTAAAAATTTGGGGGAAGGGGAAACGTTTGGAGTGTTCATGCCTCAGAAAAATAAAAGACATATTATCATTACATTTATGATTTAAAAGTTGATATTATCGTTAATTTTATTCTATTTGTAAAGACAGGTGCAGACCAACACAAAGGCAACGTAGCCCGAATAGTAGAGAGGCTGCAGAAGAATGCGAGATTAGGCCACAGCGCCATGTTAGAGCAGATCAAGGAAGATTTGGCAAAAAGAAAAATTGCTCTAAACATTCAACCTACGGTATTATTTTATTTTATATAAAATTTAGAATATATATATATATATATATATATATATATATATATATATATATATATATATATATATATATATATATATATATAAATTGTTTTTTTTTTTGGTGTTTTTTTTTTCTTTGTGATTTTCCATCAATCAGAAAAACTCAAGCATGTGCTTTAGACCATACGATAGAAGTCAACAAGGCGAGATTAATTATATGAAATATAAATTTTGAATAAAAGACCCATTAAATTTTTAGTTTTTGAGATACTTTAAGTCTTTACAAACTTTTTATTTTTTTACACTATTTCTTCAATCCATATTATATCTTCAATTTTCGACACTGTTTTCCCTTTTTGCCTCTCTAACACGGAGTCGCGTTAAGATACAATTTTGAATAATAGCTTATTGCAAAGAAAATAGAATGATGAATATTTCGTTTACTACCAATATGCAGGTCCGATTTTTAGTTTTTGAGATATTTTAATCCATATACGAAAAATCTTAAATTAGTCGACTCCAGCTGACTTTATAACTTCAGCCAAGTTTTGCAAAATGGAGACCTGACGGTTCTGATTCACTCTCCACAGATAAAAATTGAAAAACCGCGCATGAAGAAGTTGTCACTTAAAAAAATAATCCTAAATACATGTGAACTATTTGGCCAATGCGAAAAATCCGCAGCTAATTTTGTTTAATGAAGAAATAGCAAAAAAATATGGAAATAAGTAGTTCCTATATACTATATAAAGAAGGAATTAATAGTTTTTGCTTGGTCGATTACAATATACCATTAAACATAATAGACCAAAATGTTCGTACAAATTGCTTTGCGAGGACCTATTTTTAAACGCTGACTGGAAAGATAATAAAAGTAATATAGAAAAAAATAATGCCCCGATCTTGGGATATTCTAAATTATTAAAAAAATATAAAATGAAAGAACAACCAAATGTCTTTAAGAAATAATAAAGTTAATATATCAGCCATGAAAAAAAAGTAGTAGACTATTCAATGTCTAAATGCAATATCTTTAAATCGGAAGACGTTACTAAGTAAACCAAAACTAATATGACTGTATTTTTGTTAATGATTGTCCGATTTTGTTTTGTAGGTAATTTAGTAATATTTTTAATTAACAAGGGTACAATCAAGAAAAAAATGCATACTTTTTGAGTTATTTGCAAATAAAGTTTCTTTTCCTCCATAACTTTTTTGACAGTTTGGGAGGATGGGACTATTTTTCGCAAGTGAAGGAGAAGAATATCTTAAAAATGAGTGGTCAATCATTGGATTTGATGAAGAATTTACGAAGTTATGGCGTATCGACAAAAAAACACCTTTTAGAAATAATATATAGGATAAATGTCCCGCTGTTCATTAAACAGAGTATAATAAAATTATACAGCTGTTCAACTGCCTTAATAAAATTAATTGCTTTGTATTGACTTTTGTTGCTTAGAAACTTCACTGTGTGATATTCTCAATAGGGTTCAAGGTAAAGAGTGGATTTGTGGCACGCCTGAATATTGAAAACTCTTCTTTGTCTTACATGTCATAAAATGGTTTGGCAATCCTGGTCTAAATGATACGTGAATTGGCAAACCGTTGTATACTTAGTCATATTTAAGGATATTTGAGATACTTAAGGCTTTGTTTCTATATATTTTTTAATAATATACAGGTTGTTTCAGGGAAAACTAAGATGTAAATTTAGAACCTCAAAACAAGAAAAAATTTCTTTTAAAGTTATGTCTGCAAAAACTTTGTTTGTATTAACACCTAAAGATTTTCCTTGTTATTAATTACTTACATTATATTAAGTAAACAAAACTTATTTGTTTGTCCCAACTACTATATTAATCAAACGTAAACATTAAATTCATATTACATGTTGTTAAAAGTGATTCCCTAGAGCATTAAGACAGGCTCGGCATCTTTCTTCAACAGCAGCAATGGCAGAACGGCACTGGATATGTGTTATTGTTTCACAAGATTCAATTATCTTTCTTCGTAAGGAATCATTGACCGGACTTGCATAGACTTTTTGTGTAATGTCACTCAAAACAAAAAAAGTCCAGTGGTGTAAGGTCTGGAGAGCGTGCAGGCCAGGCCAAGCCACTGGTCCTGCACGACCAATCCATTGATTGGGATAATTAACATTCAGCCATTGTCGTGGACCTCTTCCGCGATGCGCAGGAAAACCATCTAATTGGAGTCACGTGTCCCTTCGCAGTTGTAGTGGAATATATTCAACTAAATCATTGTAATAATTATTAAGAAATTCCAGAAATGTGCCTGGATTGAGTCGAGGTGGCTATAAATTAGGATTTATCAAAATATTGTCTATTATCCCCAACCACAGATTGTGCACTGAAACCACGTATTACGGAAGAGGTCCACGACAATGGCTAAATGTTAATTATCTCAATCAATGGATTGGCCGGGCAGGACCAGTGGCTTGGTCTGCACGCTCTCCAGACCTGACACCACTGGATTTTTTGTTTGGGGTGACATTAAAAAAAAGTCTATTCGGTCAATGATCTTAATTCTTTACGAAGAAGGATAATTGGATCTTATGAAACAATAACACATATCCAGTGCTGTTCTGCCACTGCTGCTGTTGAAGAAAGATGCCGAGCCTGTCTTGATGCTCAAGGAAATCACTTTGAACAACATTTAATATGAATTTAATGTTTACGTTTAATTAATAAAGTGGTTACAACAAGTAAATAGGTTTTATTTGTTAAATAGAAAATATTTTAATAAATCCGAATTTCTAGCCACCTCGACTCAATCCAGGCACATTTCTGGAATTTCTTATTAATTATTGCAATGATTTAGTTGAATATATTCCACTACAACTGCGCAGAGACACGTGACTCTAATTAGATGGTTTTCCTGCGCATCACGGAAGAGGTCCACGACAATGGCTGAATGTTAATTATCCCAATCAATGGATTGGTCGTGCAGGACCAGTGGCTTGGCCTGGCCTGCACGCTCTCCAGACCTTACACCACTGGACTTTTTTTGTTTTGAGTGACATTACACAAAAAGTCTATGCAAGTCAGGTCAATGATTTTATTCCTTACGAAGAAAGATAATTGAATCTTGTGAAACAATAACACATATCCAGTGCCGTTCTGCCACCGCTGCTGTTGAAGAAAGATGCCGAGCCTGTCTTAATGCTCAAGGAAATCACTTTGAACAACATTTAATATGAATTTAATGTTTACGTTTAATTAATAAAGTGGTTACAACAAGTAAATAGGTTTTATTTATTAAATAGGTTTAACGTAGATAATTCATAAAAATGAATATCTTTAGATGTGAATATCTCCTAAACAAACTGTTTGCTGACATAACTTCAAAGGAATTTTGAACCCTGAAACATATTGTATACTATATATATACATCAAACGAGTATATATATATATATATATATATATATATATATATATATATATATATATATATATATATATATATATATATATCATGTATATATATTTCTCTATCGTACAGATGACTAAAGCTAACTGGAGAAGCCCCCCACCGACGACAGCCCCACCGCCGATACCAGTGACACCTAGCAGTCCGCCAGTGTACTGCTGTCCAATGGAGATCCCACCCATCAAGGTAACTAACCAATTATTATTATTATTATTGTACATTGAACACATTTATCGTTTAATGGGCTGAAAATATATCAATGTCTCATGATATGAAGGCAAGGAGGTTAATATGGGCGGGGACGTCAATCAGGAAGCTTCGACAAAATAATGAATGCCTCAATAGTTGGCTAGATACCACGTAGGAGCCCAAAACCCAGTTGGATAGATCGAATTAACAAAGATTCAATAGAGCTGCATGGAAATAATTGGAGAAAAATGACCAAGACTTCTCAATTTTCGTACATGTGGTGAATCCGTGCCTTTTATTTTTTATTGAGAGATATTACAATCTGTCGCAAATAAAGACATTTATAATAGTGTTTAGAGAGCAGATTCACGCACTATCAAGAATAAATAAAAATAAATAATACAGAAAAAACAATAATACTAGAAGTAAGTGTATAAAAACTAAAACAAACAAAAATAAACTAAACTAATGAAAACAACTGCCCAAATACACACACGCTTCTATACAATACCTATACAAAAAAAATTAAAATAAAAAGATTATTAAAGATCTCCGAGCCAAGCCTTTCTCCCGATTCCAGGAAGGAAAGGCAGGACTCTAGAAGATCGCTGCGGCTCTATATCAGCCGCATTACTGAATCACTGCGGCTGTTTCCAAATTGTAGTACTATACCTCTGTAATTTTGTGAACTCTAGAATATTATCTTGATAGCACTCTATTGTTACGAATTAACAAGGTGTGATTTTGGCAGAAGGATATTTTTCTAATGTAAGGGTTCTCACTGATGTATAGTAGTCTTTAAATTAATAACCTATAATCATGTTTTCGAAAGTTTGTCTGTTGTCTTTACTGATTAGAAATTTCTTTTGCAGCCGCGACTGGGCCCCAAACCCGGCGACCTGGCTGTGCTGCAAAAGTTCTTCGGCCTGAGGACTCCACTTGATCTGGAAAGTGCAAGAAGACTGGCATGCTCCTCCACCAGCGACGGGTCGACTCCACTACACCAGGCAGCAAGGGAGAGCCGTGCTACCGAAGTAGCTGCACTCATCCGGATGGGAGCGTCCGTCGAGGCACAAGACGCCCTCGGATTCAGACCGGTCCACAAGGCAGCGGCTGCGGGTTCTGTCCATGTCTTGCAGCTCCTGAAGCTTGTCGGAGCCGATCTGCAGGCTAAAGGGAACCATGGTTACAGGCCAATCCACCGGGCCGCGATGAACGGCGGTATGGAGGCGGTGCGGTGGCTGGTGGAGCAGGGGTGTTCGGTGGACTCCACGATCAGCGGAGGGTGGACGGCACTCCACCTGGCGGTGTGGTGGGACCGGGAGCCCGTGGTGCGGTGCCTTCTCGATCTGGGGGCCTCGGTCAACTACCTGACTGACCAAGGTGTGTCCCCTTTCGCCATGGCCGTCTCAGGACGGAACGAGGATCTGGCGCGCCTTCTTCACAGATATGGAGGGGTCATGGAATAATGGAACTCGGTTCCTTCAAACTAAAATACGAAAAAAAGTTTAATTATATTAACTAATATCTATTGATGAGGACTTCAATAGTTCATATACTCATTGAAAAAATAAACCTTAGACTCCGTTGGGGTCTCTGGATCGATTCATGACAAGTAAACTCGTTCCCTTTGTGAATTTCAAGGAGACGAAGATGAGTTGTTCGAAACTTGCGGCTGTGTGTATCTCAAAATAGTATCGTTACTATAGAGGTAATGAACGAGTAAGCTAACGGGTGATAAATAGAATAAGTGAAAAGCCGATTGCGTCCACACTTAGGCTAATATCATTCATATACAGAAGTTGTCATGTCTTCAAATTATTAAAATTTTATCATGAAAACTTTCCCAAAATCTAATAATCACCCATGTACTTCCTAGGAATATGTATCTATATGGAATTTCACTATTTTTTTAAATTTAAATATTTGTTCATGCTCTTATTCCCTCTCTTCCGACAAAAGAGATTATCTATTTATTGTTAATTTAAGGATAAATAATAAATATTTAACAATATATAAGATTAAATTTATAGCATAAAAAGCCTGATACATAAATAAAAAAATGATAAATGTAAAATCCAAATGGAACAATTTATCTTAAGATGAACGTTTAACAACATTAAATATAAATTGTTAATATATTAAACACTAGAAGGCTAAAAAAAATTGATATATCAGTTGGGTATCTACTACTACATAACTCTCGCTATGTAGTTTTCGTCATATCAACACCTGAGTCTCAAGTTTTGTTCGGTAGCGGAAGGCATCTGTATACTACACTATTTTAAACATTAATAAACCAGAACTTTACTGGCTATATATTAATTAATTTAAGTATAGATTTAAGTATATTATCTTAGAATTAAAACATTATTTCCTTATTCGGTTTTGTTTTAATTTTTTATTTCTGAAGAATTTATTTGGGGGTGCAGTCAAAAACTACTATTATATAATATAGTATTTTTTTACCACACCCCCTCCTACTAACTTTTTCTGAAATTATAATCCACGGTCAACCATTTCCACACCGTTATAAATTATGTTTTAGTAGACTAATGTTTTTTTGTTTTAAATATATCTCTATCATGACTGTTTTTATATTCATATCATGTATAATATAATCTCTTATGTTATAATAAATTCTATATATTATTTTGATTACTCGAATCACGTTATTATGTCAAACTGTATGTCAAACTATTTGACTAAGCTATGTTTTGACAAACATATAACATCATTGAATTTTGATATAGGATTCAAACTCAATAATCCTCTTAAAAATTAGTTCGAATATTTATTAACAGTGATTCTATTTGTAATTTTAAAAAATGGTTCCAATGATGTTTATAATTTATTAATAAAGATATAATGTATAAATGAAGATTTTTTTTTTCCTCTGGAACTTTAATACTTTTCCATTCCGACTACCTGGAAGTTATCACCGTTTTCCAGTCAGAGAGGGAATGCTGGAATCATTTTCGGCATTCCCTTTCTTATTAATTTCTAAACTGTTGGGAGGGTCTTCCGCTCTGCTCCTGACTTCCGGCCTCCTGAATCTCTAATGAACTGGGGGGGGGGGCTGGGTTAATGTCTGTGATGGAATAATGTTGGAAATATTATTGCTAATTTCAGTGAGTAATGATAAGAAAAAATAAAAATAAAATGTGGAATATTTTAAAGTCTTAAGCCATATACTTTTTCAATGCAATTCGATTTCTGGAATTCTCTCCCTATCAAAATTTGGCATTCCCCTCCATATCCACATTCAAAACCCTCCTATTCCAATTCCTATCCCAAAAACAGTCAGATGCTTGCTAAACTTTTCATATTATACACTTCTATTATATCATTCAGCATCAAACGATACCAGTATCCTATACTGTAAACTTCACTAGGGATATTACAATATCCTTCTGCTCTTAATGCCACTATTGTGGCATTCTATTGTTTTTTTTATTATTATTTGTTATTCTTATATAATTATATCTGTACCTATAACTAGAATTAGACAATGATGAGTCTACATATTATTCATTATTTAAATACTCTGAGATTTCATATTGTCAGCTTTGTTAGCAGAAACACACCTCATTTTAAAGAAGAACTCAATGTATTATTTATTATTTTATTTTTCAAAAGTGTACAATTATAATTTATCCTACTGTACATAGTTTAAGTGTTTTACCATAATTTTAAGTGTTTTGTATATAGATTTTTTTTTTGTATATAGCTTGTTTAAGTAATATTTTCTTTACTTTACCTTTTTTTATTATTGTATTATTTTGGCCAGATGAAGTATTTTAATTATGTTCTATTTTGTTATACTAAAGGGACTTCGTCCCAGAATAAAGTTATTTTCTATTCTATACTTATAAATAACGAACAAGTCAACGTTTCTAAAATATAGGATACATTCAAAATATATAACTATGAAGATGACTAAGTTGTCGACTTATGAACTATAAGGTGCAAACAAAATTTTCAGCAATTTCAGTCCAAATTTATTTAATAATATACTTCGTTTTTGCCTTGACTTCCAAACGATATCAATGATTATGACCCACACGTTTGGGTCGAAACGTCGGCTAACCCATTAAAAAAAATCCTGACAATTATGTTCCATACAAAAGATATAACATCACAGCAGAATTGAGATAACACTTAATTTTTAATTAAGTTAATTAAAATTAATCAATTTTCTTTAATAATTTAAACGAGACAAATTTAATAAAAATCGTAAACTAATTCAACATGTGCGCAACCCATAACTTTCACTTACCGCTCTACTTTGAATAGAAATTATTTTCTGGCAATGTTGGTCTATTATAATTTTTTTAAGTGCATTTTAAACGAAGCTAAAGCTTAATCCTTAGAGATAACAAATCATTAAGACTATTAAAATTATAAAAAGTCTATTTATTATATCGACCGTAGGCAATAAAATTCAAGTCACTCCATCTTCTTTTATAAACCGCACAACTTCAGTCTCTGAGTCTTTTAGTTGGCAGAATGCCTAACTCCAATTTTAACAGTTTTTATTAATGTCATTTTAGTGATGTTTCTAGAGGAAAAGTTATATCTATACAGGCAGTGAGTAAGTTGATTCCATAGTAGGTGATTGCAGTGTTTAAATATAGAACTGTGAATAAAAGTATAATTTTACCACTAGAAACTTGACTAAAATTAATAATAAAGTGCTACGTATCAAATGGTTTTTGATTAGTAGATTTTGATAACGGGATGCCACTGGTAATTATTGAAGATAATTATCCAGAATTAATTAATAAAAATATTAGTTAAACAAATTATGTCATTTGACATATTGGTCCTTAATTCATCTATTGGATTACTTCTCACAAAGGCTTGTTGTGTGTTTATCTGTTCACTAATTACCAAACATTACCTGTGCTTATAATGAAAGAAATAGGTGGCATGATTAAAATAACTTTTATGTACAAATTATATTTATTTACAAGTGATGAGAAAGAATGTTATATACATTATATGTACAAAAACTAATGAACTATACAATTGATTGTGAAGGCATGATTCAGATGGATGAAATTGAAAATTACGTTGCCATTAAATATTTATACATCTTTAAAAAAGAATTGTTGGGGATTACTTATCTAATAAGTCGAGATCATCTGGACATGGATCAGGTAGGGCCAAGGCTTCAGTCTCCAAGTTGGAAGAAAACATCAGGGACCTCCTCAGTGCCGGGCAGTCCATCAGGCCTCTCTTCTATCAGCCTCTCCTCATCCAGCTGTCCTCAGCTGAGTCCCATAAAGAAGAAGTGTCCTCAGCGGCGTTCCAGGAAAAAGTCCTCTCTCCTCCGAGTTCCAAAAAGAAGTGTCTTCCTCCAAGTTCTATATTTTCCACCTTTTTTCATCCCCTCTCTTTTGGTAGGGGCAAGAATTGTTCCCATTGGTTCAATTTTTGTAACAGAAGGGATGACCACACCCCCTCCCCCAGACCAAGGTAAAGCAGCAGGTACAGATTTCCATATTTCTGGTGGAAGGTGTGAAAAGGTCTTTTGGGATCCTTTTTAAACACTTAGTTGTCGGTCTTTGTCGGTGGTCCTTAAGGGTTTTTATTACCACTTACAAAAGGTTGTCCTAATGGGTTACCCTCAGTCAGGTACCCAACTGCCAGATGTTGGGTTTATACCTAAATATGTTTATATTTAGGTAATACCTAAATTACCTTAATGTTTATTTGTTTATACCTTTAAACTAATTATTCCACTGACGGTCTTTACAATACATAGCATTCTCCTAGTCTTGGGGAAAAGAAAAAATAAAATAAACGGAAGTTTATTGGATTTTTTCTTTAAATATTATACATCAATACCTTTACAATAGGCTTCCTCTATCTGATCTCAGAATGAAAAGTAAACATTTATTTATAAACAATATGGGACGAGATTTAACTCAAATATACATAGACTTATCCATTAACTACTAGAAATATTGAAAAAATATGCTTTTACATAACCAGTAATTCAATTTTACTTACATATCTCAAATTTACCAATTCTGCAATATATCAATACCACTACTCGTAATTCTTTATAGTTTATCTATTTGTTTAGTGGAACACAAAACAAAACATATACTTATATATATATACACATTGACTCAAATATATATATATATATATATACATATATATATATATATATATATATATATATATATATATATATATATATATATACAATTCATTACACTACTCTCATTGAACTATGTCCTCCTTTACTAACATCTCATTTAGCCAAGATTTTATAGTGTCATTTCCTTGAATTCTTAACATTCACCTTATCTTTTTACTATTTATATAATTATTATTTATACTCTCAAAAAAGAGTCTTCAAAGGAATTCAAGTTATCTCTGGTGCACTTTTAGGCGACTATATTTATACACATAATACAACAATGACATATTATTCATTTAGTGTAACTACTACCTTGTGTGGCAACCGTTATAACAAAAAC